ATACAAACAAAWCTTTTGCAAGAACTACATAGCCATTTTCTCTCCAGATTCTGAAAAACAAACGCCTGTGCTGCCTGTTCTAATATTCTTCCCCCTTCACCTTCCTGAAAAAATGTTTTCTCTGCACTGTGTCCCCTGGACAATATACAAGATTCACCTGGTTTAATTAAAATAGAGGTTTCCCAAGAAAAACAACTGCCAATCACAAGATGAACAGTAAAGCATCAAAACTAGTGAGAAAACAAAACAAAGCCCACAACAAAACAAAAAGAGAAGCACAAAACTTTTTTATCCACATCCTTCTAAAACTGAATTGTGTGCAGACTCTCCACTCTTCCAAAATAACCAGGCATTTGCAAACAATAAAATGAGTATCTTCGTTTAAATGGTGTTTAATACTGCATTCATATTAAAAATCCATATAGATAAAATGCTAAAATGAAGGATTGAGTTATTAGATCCATCATTTTATTTTCATTCATATGAAGTCTGCAGATGGACACAGTAAAATGCCATTCTTCCAATCACAGAAACCTTCAGGACCCAAAAAGTTCAGCTGTTCAGAAACACAGGCAGCCCATCAGAGAAATGAAACACCACAACACTAATGTTGTTTGCACTGTATCRTATCAGCAGCAACATTTATATTATGTCTGGTAAATGTAAATAGCTAATTAATGTCARCCTCACTTTGCTGCTTGTCTGAAACAAACAGCAGAACAGTCAGGGCATGACTTGACAGAAGCAAAAGATGGCAAAAAAAAAAACCCAGTTACACCCAAAACCAGTGACTGCAAATGTCAGATATGAAAACAAAGAAAAAAACTCAAATGAAACCAGGAAGTTTACAAAACACTTGGAAGAAAATAGAAACTGTCCCTAGCCAGTGTGGAAGCCATGCTCTGGTTACATCCCCTATACAAACAGGGTTTGGGATCTGCTTGAATTGCCAGGAAAAGACCCTTGGACAAAACAACAACCAAAAAAGCAAAGAAAAATCAAAACAAACAAACAAAAACCCACMGAAACCAAACCAACAATCCAACAATAAAGGTGGGAGGAAGACATAGCTGGGCTGGGCATGGGGTTTTCCTGGTTGCTTGGTACAMGCTGGAGTTTCCTTCACCTCAAACTGGCTTTTTGCCAACACAATGTAGGCTACAYTGAATGAGCCAAGTGGCTTAAATTTCTGTTCCCCTGACAGGGAAAGTCACAGAAGCTCTGTACAGCACCTCAAGTTTCAGACCAAGATGCCAGTCTCTTTCAAATGGGATGCTTTGATAGAATCYACTGGATTCATCTCCTTATCCCATTATCCAGGACTACACAATAGCTTCCCATTGCTGTCAACCTCCTAACAGCCAAATTACCATCCCAACTCTTTATCTTACCAGAATATAAAGTTATACATATTCAAGTGCTCAGGCTGTAATGTCAGATCAAAAAACCTTCCTCCTTAAACAAAAAGTGGTTTAGCATTGAAATATCAAACATGATACTTRCTCCAAATAGTAAAAACAAGAAATAAATGTAATGCTCATCTGTAAGCCAATCCCAGAAGTCTGTATTAAATACTGTAAACTACACCTTCCCACTTAAAATTCCAAAATGGCATTAAGGGAAGATTCAGCAAAAGTAATTTATAAATGTACAGATGAAAGGTCATATCAAAATCTCACTTGTGAATTCCATCAGCTGCTACATCAATTTCACCATGATGACTCTRCCTCAATTAACATTACCAAGAGCAAATAAAGCCCACCAGGTGCTTTTATAATGTCAGTATTGGAAGAATATTGCTAGAAAGCTGACAACTAAAGTTTGGATAGAATTAGGTTGATGACTACTAAAAACCCCAAATATATTCCAAGAATTAGTGGCCCAAAACATAAATAAAGACATATTTACATACCTCTAGGGCAAATATTTTGTTATCTGACTGGTTTTCTTAAATTTATTTTAAATCTTATACCYACTTTTGTAGTGTAGACATWAAAAGGCCATAATTAACCWAACTATTTTCYTTCCCCTTGCCTCYKGTTACTATAGTTTTAATGTGTTTATTTCAGACCCTTCAGTACCACCTTGCTATCCCTTACAAATACAGCATTTGTATAAATCAGAACACTGTGTACTACAGCAGTATTGAACAAGTATTTTCATATTATATTCCTAACCTGGCCACATTTTTTTTGTTCTTTAGTCATACAGTTCTAAAAATGGAACTGGAATACAGAATTGGGGAAAAAATAGAACACCTAGCTGGGAATGGCAGAAAAACCCTGAAACAGTGAAGAAAAATTGGCAGTCTGAAGGTGTYCTCTGAGTTCTATCAGTTTTCTTAAATGACCCTGTACTAGGATACAGAAATAACTCACACAATATTTATGGGGAGAATGAAAAGGAATTCTCATATGACTGAGTGGCAGGAAAACCACTAGAAGTGCAAGAGGCAACCTAAATATGTAAAATTTACTGAGAAATATTTTGCAATTAGCAACAAAATGTATCTAGAAGGAGCAAAAATTAAGGCATTTCAATTGCTCAAAACACAAAGGCAGTAGGAAATGATTCCCAAAACAACAGAGGTGGAGCAAAGGGAACATGGCAAACAGAAAATATTCAAAGAGAAATTAAGGCTTATAAGCACTTTCTAGTTCTACACACTYTAGAAAAGGAAGCATTAACTTAATGCACAGAATGAGAACTGAAGACATAAGCACAAAACAACACGAGGGTAGAGAAGAGAGAGGACAGGTGAGAAAAATAAACAGAAAACACTACTTTAAAAAGCATTTTTCTTCTCCTTGCTGAATAYGTAAAAAGGTCATTTAAGAAAAGCAGCTGGCACATTGGAAGAAAAAAAGCATAACTCAACAGAGAATTACAGAAATTTTAACTGGCATTTGTTTCCTACAAGGAAAATGGAAGTGAAAATTCAAGACTATTTACTGTGAATATTATTTAAAGAAGAAACAGCAAAGACAGCATATGMCAGTGGGYTACAAATATATCAACTGTGTGAACRAACTTAAAGRCCACACAGCTCTTCACCAAGAAACAAGATTGTCTAAAAGACACATGTTAAAAAAGAAAAGAGGAAGCAAGGTACCAGCAGRAAAACTATCAGCTCTAAGACCATACCTGAAACATCTCCAGAAATCTGGTTTACAATAAACTAACTTCAAATTAATAGGTTAATAAAATTTTATTTAAATTAAAACTAAGTGCATAAAATAACCATCTACAGAATTACTATGACAGTAAAGACAATTATTTCTTCCTATACTCCTGACGGAAAAGAAACAAAAAAAACCAAAAAAAAATCAATGAAACAAACAAAAACAAACAAACAAAAAAATCAAGATAAAGCTTGCTAGACTTCTGCTATATATTTTTCTGGACCCATAAGGACTTTGTTTTGGCATGACAGGAAATTTCATGTTAATTCAAGGGAGTTTATGAATATCCTGAATACAACACTGAATAGATATTGATACTGATGGGTAGACTATGAAGTCAAACACATGTCAATACGGTCTTAACTCTCAGTACTTACTTATGGAAAGTATTTACACCTTGGAAAAGGTAACTGGGACAGAGTTGTTTAAAAGTATTTTGTTAAAAATGCCATTTCAATATATTTCATAATGTGAAACTGAAATAAGTACTTTTTTAATCTTACATAGAAAAATGCCTCTGCATTGCACTTTCTGCTGCAGATCTAAAATGAAACACAAGACCAAAAAAGCCCAAAAGAAATTTGGCTTGCTTGTATACATATGTACAGTTTGCTTGTATAATTTCTAATGTAAAGATGAAATGTCTTTATGAGGCAATCAACTCCTCTCAGACACAAAACCAGCAAATGCCCAACACAACTTACCAGTCTCTCCCACCCTACTCAATTATTCCAGATCTGCTTTATAAAGTGGCTAATATAAATTCAGTGAAATGTATCTGATGTATATTGGGAAAAGTGAATGACTGGTGATGGCCTAACAACCATTCTGACACTGTAGCTGGCTCTGAGCAAATCTATTCCATGCCTCTACAACGTGCAAGCTTTCAACACACAGCTTGTGTTTTAAGTCATTCAATGAAAATCCTGAGTGCAGAGCAGTTGGCATTGGAAGGCAAGCTATTGTCAAAGCGCATAGCACACTCAATAGATACATCAATTTCACAGGAACAAAACCAGAGATCCATTAGCCTCAAGTTTTACTTCTSTTTAACGCTTCATTTTCTACTCCCTTATGACTGCTGTTCTGGTCCGGCATGTTCAGCTGCCAAAAGTTCTGCTGAAGAGCAGCATCCCATTTGAAGAGATATGAAAGGGTCTGAGCTATCTTCGTGCCCACGAGCATTACCGGGCTCACACGCACGTGTTGCAACTGTTGCAGCCAACAGTCGCTGGCCTGGCCTCTTCACCTTCACTCCCCATCACCRGCTAAGACAAAGAGTCCAAACGGCACGAGAACTCGGGGGAAAGGAAAACGATCCACGCCTGCAAGATTCCGCTACCACATCCCTTTTATCCAGCCCTCGCTGCACAGCCGCTGCCGAAGAAGGGAMGCCAAGGACGGAGCAGCGATGGCGGTCACGCTGACGCACCGGGGCGGCTGCCGGTCCACGGGTCCCCCGACGCCTCCCGCACCCCCGGTGTGGGGGGCCGGAGCCACGGGAGACCGGGACGCGGGCCCTCCCCGCAGCCCTGCGGAGCTTCTCGGCGGCTGGAATCGCTACGCAGCAGCGCCAAAGGAAGGGCGGGCGGGCGGCACACGAGGCGCTCCCGGTGCAGCCGGGGTGAGGCAGCGGAGCCGGGGAGGGATYGCGGGGGGGACGCGGCCACCGAGGGCGTCCCGCCCGCCCCGCCCGTCCCGTCCCCCCGTGTCCTTGGCGGAGGCAGCCGCGGGTCTGCAGCGGCCGAAGCGCGATGGACGCCCCGACTTTGCCCTCAGGGCGGTGAACGCCCGCGCCCCCGGCCCGGCCCGCCTCACCTGCGTGCCCACCACCACGATCTGCGGCAGCTGGATGATGTCGGCCCCCACCGTGTTGAACACGTCCTGCAGCTTGTTGATGACGGGGATCAGGGCCTCCATAGCGGCGAGAGGAGGGACGCGGCGGGCGAGGCGTCGGCAGCGGATGGACACGACGGGCACCGGCGGCTCCCTCAGCCGCCCCCTGCGCCTGCCGCCATCGGCGCCGGCCCCCGCGCACGGCCCGGCCCCCGGCAGCCTCCGCGCGCCCGCCGCGCGCAGCGCCGCCGCCGCGGGGCACTCTGGGAGTTGTAGTCCTTGGGGCTGCCAGGCCCCACCCCGGGCCGCCCCTCCCCGGACCGCGGGCCTTTGAGGGATTGCTGGCGTTCGTAGCGGCGTCGCTGGGATCTTGTGTCACAAGCCATTGCCGGGGTTTATTACTCAGAATCAGTGAGGCTGGCAAACACCTGATATCATTGAGTCCAACCTATGACCGAACATCGCCTTGCCAACTAGACCATGGCGCTCAGTGCCACATCCAGTCTCTCCTCAAACACCTCCAGGGATGGGATGATGCTCCCTGGACAGCCCGTTCCAATGCCAAATCACTCCTTTTGTGAACAAATTCCTCCTGATGTCCATCCCGAACCKCTCCTGGTACAGTTTAAGAGGATGTGCTCTCGTTCTGTCGCTGTTGTGTGGGAGCAGAGCCTGACCCCACCTGGCCACCGCCTCCTTTCAGGGAGTTGCACAGAGTGATAAGGTCATCCCTGAGCCTCCTTTATTTTCATCCCCAGCTCCCTCCGTTGTTCTCGTTCTCCAGACCCTTCCCCAGCTCTGTGTCCTCCTCTGGGCCCACTCCAGCAGGTGCCATGGGTATTCCTTGTGGGGCCTCGTTGTGCCAGGTGATATCAGAAAGGAAAGGCTCTGAGTGCCAAATTGCCAAAGCTTGGCAGCATCCGCTGTCACAAAGCCAACGGAGCAGGAAAATGAAGCTGCTGGGGTGAGGAAGAGGCATTTTGGAGGTTTCTTTTGGGGAGAAACAGAACTGGAGATCTGCTCCWACAAACTGCACGGTGAAAAGAATATTCTTCCACCTCTGTTCATCTGTTGAGAATAGGGCACATTTAGAGCAGCTGTTCTGTTTGCTTTCTTGTGGATATTTTTTGTTTTGCTGTGAGACTCTTGGATAATCATCTGAAATTCTGTAACTCAGATGTGTAATAGTAGGTTAGGTTGAGGTGCCTTAGGAAGTGGGAAACTGTGTGAGATCTAATACTCAGCTGTGTTATAAAAAGAGATAGAATGAAACCAGAGGATGACTTGTGATGCGAGATCACAACAGATAAACCATCTCATCCTCAAATGTCTTGCCTTTGAGTGCATTTTCTGAAAGATAAATTATGAATATGCTGGCACTGAGTTTATTCAGGCTTTGTTCTTTCTTGTAAGCAACAGAGTAAAAAGGCTTTYRRAAGTTCCAAGTTTTGGATRGCWTTAGAATTCTTATTCTTGTTCYATACAAATTAGTYTTTCCCAGTCTTCATGTCTTGATAYACTCAAATGTCAAAGGAAAKAAMARAWGTTCTTATTTGTRCATTTTTYCAACAAAGTTTCTCATTCTTACCCAAGCAATTTCACCAATTTCATGCTGTTTGTCAGAGGGATGATATTTTGTGACAAAGCATAAAGATGGCTAAGCAAACWGGAAAACTCAAAAATTAGTATATTCAGCATAGAAAGAAACAGTCAATGAAATTTGGGGAAGAAGGTCCTGAATGACTGGTGAGGGGTTTTTGTCTACATTTTCCAGTAGTTTTGTCCATTAGTTCTCAGCATCCCACAGCCTCTCAGAAATCATTAATACCACAAGGCCATTTGGCATCTGCCTCTCCAGCTCCTGGGAAAAAAGAAATATTGTCCTGACACAACAAAAAATCTTTTGAAAAAGTCCGCTATTCCCTGTCTAGGCTGATCTCCTCTCCTTCCTTTAGTCTCTGGAAGGAAAAGAAAAGAAGGAAAGAAAATAAAAACACATCCCAGTTGCACAGGACAGGATGCTGCTGGCTCCCAAAGCAGGCAGGTAACACCAGCCTGTTTCTGTACGTGAATTTCTTTTCTCTTCCCACTTTTATTTTGCCACATGACCTCATGGACACCACTGTGAAATGGAGAAAGTGAAACCTGGTTTATGTCTTATTTTAGACCAGAAGTGGGACATCTCAGAGAGAATGTAAAACTGGAAGAGGGTCGGAAAGGGACAATAAAAATGATGAAAAGTGTGGAGCAGCTTCTGTATCAAGACCAACTAAGGAAGCTGGGAGCCTTCACTCTGTGAAAGAAATGGTTTGGGCTGGCAAGGACCAGAAGTCTGTGTAATCATTGGCAAGCTGGAGTGGGTGAAAGAGAATCAGGTTCCTTTATTCTCCCTCCCAATAGGGACATTTTGGGAACTAAATCTAATGAAATCAAGACCTAGCTCAGAACAAAACAAAGACAGGAGCCCTTAGGGGTGCTTTGGTGATCTGTTGAGCTCCTTGCCAAAGGATGCCATRGACAGTAAAACTTGACATTGATTCAGGTGTTGTATGGATTAGTTTAAGAAGAAGAAATGCACTGCATGTATAAAAATATCAGTCAAGCCAAGTTCAGGCTGTTCCTGAGCTGTCAGTGTTTGCAGGCTGGGAGTGCAGCATGCAGAAGCACCGTGTGTGCTTGCCTGTTAGTCTGCCCCAGGATGGCTGTTCCTAGAATTTTATCAGTGTAATATTTCAAAGAGCACACAGAGGAAATATCAGTTGCTGAACCCAGTTGAGACAGCCCAGCCTGCCCAGCAGMGGTGTTGAAAGGACTGGGTACACCAGTGGAGAAGCACAGCAGAGGTGGAGGTAGTGAATTCATGAAGAAATGCAAGAAGAAAGTACTAAAGAAGATATAAAGCTAAGAAACATCAGAATGCAAAGTTTAACACATTTTACATTTCTGGCTGAAAAGCGAGAGCCAGAAATAGCTCTGCTGTGAAGTGTCATGGCCTGCAACGACTTACAAAATCCAAATTACCTCAGCCCAGTTGAGGACTGTGCCAGAGCAACAAATATTTTAACAAGTAATGGTTCTTGTAGCTTTAACTCTAAATTTCCATATCTGACTTAGATTGTACTGAGCATGAAACTCCAAGATCTGATAAAGGCATTGGTAGTCATACTGGTTATTTAAGTTAATTGACATGAGGACATAGGAACTGCCWCACCAAATGTGACCTGATATCAATCTATTTCAGGATCTTGTCTTTAAGACCTTCCAGCATCCAGCACTTCTGGGAAAAATATAAAAAATGCAGTAATAAGATCTCCTCATTCCAAAACTGTATATTGAATAATTTTGATATTGCTGTAAGAAGTGAAGTAGACAGTTCAATATTTCTTCTATGTTACTCCAAATAAATTTTCTTTTTTTATCGTGTAAGAGGGTTTTTGTCTCAATTACACTAAATTCTTGGCTCCAATGACAACSTCAGATGGTAAATTTCATTATCTAATTATATATAATGCAAAAAATCAGTTTGGTATGAGTTTTATATTTGTCATCTTCTAATTTCCATATAAGCCTTCTTGATTTTATATTGGAAATCAAGAGAACATTTCCAGTCTTTCTTCTCCATGACACGAATTTCTTTTTAGTTTTGCATCACCATTTGGTTCCATTTTTCTTAGGCAGCTGAGACTTTTTTATTGGCATGCCGACAATAATGGACACAAGTCATTTGCCATTTCATTCATTTATGCCAAGCAAGGAAACCACAAACTATCACCTCAGCAAAGCATATTTCCTGCCATCCCCTTTGTCTAGAAAATTATTTCTGAAGCATATGAAGTTTGTGTCTTTGCATTTGTGCCTCATACGGTCGTACTACTTTATACTGCAAAAACACTATTGGCAAAACACTTCTGTAAATTCTTCCTTGCTAATGTCACCTTTTGGAACCATGCAATACAGCACTTAAACGGGTCTGGCAGAGATCAGGTTTTATGTGAAGTCAAATTGAATGGTGTTTCTGTATTCTCCTGAGCAATCTCATCACAGATATAACTGTAACAGTTTCTTACACCAGACATCTCAGCAACACCATTAGAAGATGAGATAAAWAAATTCCTGAAATGCCTTGACAGAATGACCCTTTGTTTGGCTGTTCTACACAGATTTCCCAAGCTGAGAGATTCTAAACCTTGCTTTTTTTTTTTTTTTTTTTTTTTTTTTTTTTTTTTTTTTTTTTTTTTTTAAATTTTTCCCAAGAAGCAACAGAAGTCAGAGGTTTGAAATCCATAGTCCAGGAGTTCTGCTGAGCTGGCAAGGCGAGCTCTCTGACGTGCTTCAGCTGTCTGTAAGCAGTCATAGTGCTGATAGGAATTCCTGAGTAAGAGGGAATGTTACCTGTGCTGACACCCAGTCTCTGAAAGAACAAAGTTATCCTGGGGCAGGGATGCAACTTCTCTGGACAATATGAACTAAACAGCTGAGGGTTCCTCATATTCTCTTCCTCTGTCCTCTGGGAAGTTATTCATGAAAATCCATTGGCTATTTGGGGTGTCACAAGTTCTGGTGGAACACTCTTGTGAAACTGAAAGCAGGTTTCAAGTTAAGGGAGGGGAGGGCACAGAGGTCAAGAGCCACAGAGCAAACAGCAGTCAAACCTCATAAATCAGCAACAAAGGCCAAGCACTCTGGTGCTTGTAAGAGATCAGCATTTCTGACAGGGCCATTAGAGGTAAAAACTTTGGTTGGAAATGAAAGTAATCTCTGTATCCTTCTGGATTCCTGCATAGCAGTGCTCCCTCCTTGCTGCGACTGTGGTGGTCACACTCTTTGAAATAACAAACACAATACTTAAACAGTTGCTTCAGTAAATGATTTTACCACCCCCGTAGTGTGCAGTTCAATTTTCATGTGAACACTTTTATGTTCCCGAGTTTTGCAGATGAAGGCAATAACCTCCCATCTGCTATCAAGAAAGTAACATTCCTTGCTAAACAATAAATACACTTAGCATTCAACTGAGGCAACGTAAGTTGAAAAGGAAAAATCATACCTCAACCAAACCTCACCTCAACCAAAACTTCGCTGATGTGCAGGAGGAATCGAGCTTGTATCTTCTACTTCTGGACCCAGTAGCCAAATGAGACTATCTCCTGTAGTCATTTTAAGATAAAATAGTATGCCAAGAGGAGCATTTTTGAGTTTTATGATGCACATTTTCTTGTGCATGCTGCTTATGATTGGTGCAATTTTAAGTTTAAACTGGAAGTTTAACAATTGAGCACAGGTGATTTACGTCACATCCTGGTTTTAGGACTAATGGATAGCAGACACTTCCATGTCTCACCTGCCATACTTTTCACTGCAGAGTTGTCTTGAAGCAGAGGGGTGCAGGTCTTTCCATATGAAACACAACTGTAAAATACACTTCAGCAGCTAAAGAGCATTCAGTTAACAGCACCAGCTTAGTGCTAGTTTGAAATCAAACTCCAGAATACAACTTAGATAAGGCAGGCCTTTTGCAAATGCTGTGTGCCAGAACCTCGGGCTATGAGATTTGGATTGACTTTGCAAGTCAAGAAATCTTCAAGGAAGACAAAACAGGTAAGGCAGGTAGTTCAGCATGCTAGGCAGTATGTCTAGACAGAACTACAGTGACATTTTATCTTCCTCCATCACAGGATCATTAATTTAGTTTCCCACTGAAGAAGGCTCCCCTATTTACTAGCAGTCAGTGTYTGAAACCCATTTCCCCAAAGCAGGGGACCCTTACCTGAGTTTGGAARGGTGAGTTGGGCATATGACATTAAAACAGGTTCAAAAGAGAGCACAATCCTTCTGCCTTGTKTCCAAACACAAGCTCAGAGTCAGAGATACAAGTTCAGTGTCCAGTGGACCCAAGAGAGAGTTCATTTCCACGTTCTCCACGCAAGAGTGCTGCGACTGCCTGGATTCCAGATAGGAGTAGGAAGAGGCAGAACAGAACTTGAGGCTACCAGAGGCCATGGAGAGGGTAAWCCCAGATTCTGCTCCTGAGACAATCTCCATTCCTTCAACCATGTGTTATTTTAATATTACAAATATGTGAATCAAATCCAGAAATCTCTGGAATCATCAAGTTAAGTAAGAAAGGATTCAGCAAAATTAATATGAAGACATTTTAGCATCTAGAAACTTATGTTACCCCAGATTCCCAGTGAAGGATTTATTCCATAATGAGACGCTTCTGACAGCAGGAGTTTCCTTCATTTACCAAACAAAAACATATTCAAATAAATTCATTGTGCTTTTAGGACAGAAACAGCAACATTCAACACAGACATGGAGTTCTTCAAGGAACCAAACTCCACAGAATGCATCCTGACTTTCCCCCTGAACTGGGTTTGGTGAGCCTAAACATTGCCATGGCTGCTGGTGCTCAGGGCCAAGACGGCAGGAGGGGAGCAGCTCCCAAGAAAAATGGTCACAACCATAAGGATCCCTCTGCTCRTCCACTGGAGACACCACAGGACCCTCCAGAGCAGCTTATTTAAAGCAAGCAAGCTCCAAATTCTGTCTTTGCCAAAGGCTGGTCTGCCCCTTCTCCCATGTCAGGAAGTCCAACAATGCCAAGAACAATTTTGTGGTAATGAGGCCGTGTTTAGTCAGGCTCTTCGGGAAACCAGAGGAGACAACGCCTTCCACTTCCTCACCAATTGATGGGCTCTGGAAAATTTGCTGCCACCTGGAAATATCAGTGCTTGTTAAACCTGCTGGYTTAAAGGAATTAAGTAGGAGCTGCAGTGATGCATTTCCTGTAGTTTGAGTTTTATAATTGTGTTTTCTTATTAAAGCACATTTTTAGGGTAAATGCTATTAGTTTTGTCTCTATGCAAAAGGCATTGCATTGTGCTTAATGAGAAAAATGAGGTTTGGAACAGAGTTAGGCACAGTGGAAAGAAAATTATGCAAAAAATGRGTGGGGAATGTTACATAGAGAGGGAAGCATTGCCCTCTGTGGTTAATCAGTGCTTATTTCAAATAATAATTCATTTGCAGTGTTTGCAAAGAAAAAAAAAATAGAAATTAAACAAAAATTCTTGTATGCAAATCCTTCCAAACAGGAACTACCAAGCACTGCAGTAACTCCTCCTCCCTCTGTTTTGGGGGAAGTGTTTTCTGCAGGTGGGCACAGTGTTGTAGAAGAATACCAAGAATAAATCTGATACAATCAAAACAGGATTAACATGTGCAGATGACGGAAATTGGGAGGCAACTGCAACCAGTTTAGGTCTGTTAAAGGCTAATTAGTGGCAGTAATCAATCAGTTTTTGTTTCAGAGCACCACTAATTCCATGCATGAGATCATGCTGATGCAGTACTTGTGAGTAACCAGCACTTCAGCAAATTTAGGTACCAAAGTTCCAAAAACTTTGGTGTTCCAAAGCGGGTCCTCAGAGTCACACACAAGAAACACAGCTTAAAGATTTTAATGAGCAAAATGAACAGTAGGTGGACCAAAAAAAAAAAAAATCAACCAGCAATACTTATTTAATGATGCTTTTATTGTACAGGATACAAATTTCTGTTCTTTTTAAGTACTCAACATGAATTAAAGTGCTTAATTTTTACAATTCTCCACCCACCTTAGGATCAAATATACATATATTACAGAAAATATGTACAATATCTTCAACTTTTTTACATTCATATATTTCTTAACCATAAAAATTACGACTTACATTTGCACAACTTACAATGGCATTTGTATTTCACCTTTATAATATTATTCACTTTATTGCAAAACCAAAACAAATTTACACCTCTTCCAAATATTACATTTTTTAAGAAATGTTTTTGCAATTAAAATCAGAAATGCTTCCATAATAAAGGAAATTAACATGTATAGCCTGTAATTCTGATGTCAAACATTACAGCTGATGCAGCTCCCRTTAAAATTAATGTATTAATCTGCCTTAAGGGCTGCAGAATAGAAAATACACTGACAGAAAAAGAAAAATTTCTATTGCAAACCCTTACCTACCTGAAACAAATTTGGCTGAAAAATACTAGGGCACATGGATGTAAAAATKATTTTATATAGTTCCCTCTTTTCTGAATGTTTCCACCATAAATACTTAATGAATCCACGAGGATGAACTATAAACAGAAGTAGGCTGGTGTTATGCAGYGGCTGAAAACATGTTTTATTCAAAGAAATCTGCTCGAGGATTTTGMGAAAAAACACATTCACTTGTGCTGGGAAGAGGAAGGGGTGAAACAAAATGCCATAGTTGATTCTGGAAAGGAATTTAATCACAGGCTTTCAAAGGAAGCTGATTGAAATGCCTCACTGGAATTAGCATGTTTGGGGGCTTTTTTGTTTGTTTTTATGGGCTGAAACAGTAAACATGCCACAACAGCAGATCTACCTCCATCTTCTTTTTTTTTCTGGAAAGCATACTCAACACAGTCATTATRCATTCTCTTTTGAATGCAGCACAGTGTATTTTTTGATTGTAAAATACTGCTTGAAAACAAGTCATCTGAATAATAGTCTCAAATATATAAATACACATATATACATATACACACATATGCATATGTGCATATACACACACATATGTAAYCATTAAGTTAATGTTATGTTAAAGGATTTAGGAAACAATCTGACTAGCAGATTAAAACCCCTRTCTGAGGAACATACTACAGTCCCATGGGTCAGAACCAGCTAGATAAATTCCTCACACCAACAGGGCCACAGACTAGAGCAAAAAACATTAACCCCATAGATTTCATTCAGATTTCAAWTAACAGGACACCACAGACTAAGACTGATGCCCCTTTCACCTACGGATTTATCTTAAGGATAGTCAGCTCTGCCACAAAATTATTTCCCTCCAATCGTTTGCTTTTGTATATGTATTTCCAGCTGTTTACCCTCACCCCTACATCAGTTACCTCCAGCTAAGGCCCATCTGAAGTTCACCTGAGCTCTGTGACTCCACATGAGATGTGRTATCTCAGCAGCTCCCAAAGTGGTGGAAGTTTCCTCKCTCACAAGTGTYCTTATAGAATGTAAGGCAGATTCTRTGTGAATTTTAATCACTGAAGGTGTAAGAGCTCCAGCAGGCCTGTGCTGGTTTATACCAGCTGTATGAAGAAAGACCTTTTGTTATTGCTTAGGATTATTCCTACATGGAATKTTTATTTCTTTCCTGAAGGTCTTTCCTTCAGTATAAGAAATAACTAGCATCTGTTAATTTTCTTTCATCTTTTCTTGAAATGAAAAGCTGATGATTTTTTCATACTGGCTATGTGCTGATGAACCCAAACAACCTGTCAAATGTGTCCACATCCTTCCCGACTTGGGTTTTTTTTTTTTGTTTGTTTGTTTTCTAATATCTATATTTTTGTTTTTCTGACTCCATTTGGAAGGCTCTAGACAATACTTTTATAATCTAACCTAAATTTTATTGAGGTGGTAGTGCATTTACCCTATATTTAATCAGTGCCTTTCCKTCATCCATTACTTAAAAACTTGAAGAATTAAAAACCTCTTTTCTATGAAAGGGCATTAGAATATTTGAGGAGATTTATAAAACACTTTGAGATGGTTTTGCATAAAAAGGTGCTACCATATATAYATGCAATTAAAATGGTTTTATATGTTACTCCAAATAGAAGAGAATGTTTTGTATTCTCAGTATCTACTTTGCACATATAAGTTAAATACATTTTGGAATAAACAAAACTGCTCAGCGTAAAGGGATTTGAAAATACTACATGATACAGGTTTTATAGCAGCTCTTCAACCAAGCAGGAGTRCCTGATACCAAAAGAGAATTTTTAGAKGGTCTGGAGGAATGGTGCAGACATGCAGATATCATGATAAACTATTTTCCCATGGTAGGGGGAAAAAATAAGTAATTTCAAAAAATATATTACTATGATCCAAAAAATCTTAATGATAAAATTAAGTTTTGTTCTGGTTGAACACAAATAAAACCACCAAAATAACTTTTCATCTGCTTTAAATCGCAYAGAAGACTGATCACTTTTAAAGTGAGAAAAAAGCATTTCTTGAACACAAGAGTTGCAAAGCTTAAATAATTCAGCAGAGCCATTCACATGCATTCATGCATTATGAATGAATGCTTAGTTACAGTTTATTCCTTACACACAGGGCTTTATGCTCACAAATTTAATGGCTTTTTTCTTTATCTCAAAGAATTTAAGAATTTAGYTCAAACCTCATTAGAATGATGGTTTTAATTTCACTGCTTTGGTCATAGTTCTTACTTAGGCCACAGCAGCTCTGACTTTGGATTTGTTCCTCTTCAATCATACTTTACAATTTAAAGTTTTGAATGCTGTAGGAGGGCTTGTCTGTGGAGAACGAAGACAACAGGGTGGTTAAATTTGGAAGCAATTTCTCCATCTCCTGATGTCCTTTAATATYAGGTAATACATACTTTTCCTACAAAATACACACAGAACCATTTATTTGAGTGCCAAGGCATTCTGACTCAGAAGAGAACAATTCTGACCAAGCTGTTGATTCTGACAACACAAAATGGGTTTCCCTAGGGTAAATTAAATATCCTGCGCTATATACAATTTAATGGCCGAGGGCAAACATGAGGCTAACATCCCAACAAACAACTCCCAGTGTTAATTTCATTTCCAATTGCTTATGCCCAAATGTAGGGCTTCACCTGGGAGATGCTGCAACCATTTAAGCAGCTTCAGCTACTCAATAAGGCRGCACAGAAACTGCTACTCCTGATCATTTAACTGGAACAGGGCTTCCTACCTGGATTAGAATTCTAAGTTTGCAGGAGCTCAGCAAACAGAATGTACTACACAGCACCAGGTTGGGAAGGATCTGCTGAAGGGTAGGAARGYTCTGCAGTGAAATCCAGACAGGTTGGATCAATGGGTCAAGCCAGCTCTATGAGGCTCAACAAGGCAAAGTGCTGGGTCCTGCATCTGGGGCACACCAGCAGGGCAGCCCTACAGGCTTGGGGAAGAAAGGCTGGAAAGCTGCCTGGTGGAAAAGCAGCTGGGATTGCTGGTTGACAGCAGCTAAACCTGAGCCCAAATGGCAACAAGGCCAAGGGTGTCCTGGCTCYATGAGACACAGTGTGGCCAGCAGGGCCAGGGCAGGGATTGTCCACCTGTACCTGGTATGGGTGAGGCTGCACCTCAAGTGCYGTGTCCAGTTCTGGGACATGAAAAACATGTCAAGAAGGACATTGAGGGGCTAGAGGGAGTCCAGAGGAGGACAGTGGAACTGGGGAAGGATTTGGAGCATGGGTCCTGTGAGGAGCAGCTGAGGGAGTTTGGGGGTGTTCAGCTGGGGAAGAGCAGGCTCAGGAGGGATCCTATCGCTCCCTACAAGTCCCTGAAAGGAGATGATAGYGAGGAGAGGGTCAGTCTCTTCTGCAAAGAAACAARCAATAGGACAAGAGRAAATGGCCTTGAGTTGTGCCAGGGGAGATTTAGGTCGAATTTTAGAAAACATTTCATCACCCAAAGGGAGGTCAAGCATTGGATCTATTGGTCAAGTCACCATCCCCATMCCTGAAGGTGTTTAAAAGACATGCAGATGTGGCACTTAGGGACATGGGTTAGTGCTGGACTTGGCAGTGCTGGGCAATGGCTGCACTCAGTGATCTTAGTGGTCTTTTCCAAYCTAATTTATTCCATGACTACAGTCATAACATCGTATTATTTTCAGTATAGCTCAATCCTTCTTATCTGAGAACTCCTTTAAAGCAACTTCTTCCTTTTACACTCAACCACTGGACCATGGGAAGCTCTTTTCCTACATTTGGATGCGGTAAGACAACTCTCCATGTCCCACAATTGCACTTGAGGCTCTTGTAGAAGATCTCCACTTCTGGGAGATGGCCCTGAAGGAAAGACAGCCACCAAGAGTTCTACTTGCTTACCTGAATGTTCCCCCATCCCTTGCCAAGGCACATGCAAGATGTATTAGCCAGGTGTAYCTTGGCAAAGATCTGAGGGTACTCACCAATGTGAACCAAAACAGGCTTGAGCTGCCCATGGCTAAAGGGAAACACAGCTGCCATTAGAAGTAACTTAAAATMTCTTAAGAGAGTTACAGAAGAGCTTGCACATCAGATAAAAAAGTAATACTGGAGTTATATCCAGAAAAATCCAGACACAGAGAGCACCCAAGGAAGAKAAATCAGAGCTGCTTGCACCGAGTCAGCTGGAGAGTTAGTACTCTACCATACCATGTCCTGATTGYTATTAACACTGGTGTAAAGCTGTGGAATCTCAAGGCTGTGGTACATCTTGGATCTGTGCAGGTGAGAGCAAAATCCATCCCACTGACATTAAGTTACACGACATTCTTATGAAGGAATGATGGACACTGCTGCTCGTGTATGCTTGGCACTACAAACAGATCTTAATCCTAAACACAAAATGAGTTAATTTTTTTCCCTATAGTATCACAGAAACAGTAAAGCAGGAGTAGGAGTTCAGTGAATAGGATTTTTTTTTTGCAAACTCATTATAAAAAGCAGTTTAAATTTGTCGTCACATTACTAACAAAACTGAACCTGAGCTCTTCAACTTGACACGTTTTAAAACACAGATTGCAGATACACTGAAAAGCAAGGCTCCTGAATGTTCTTATGACAAGKTGATTGTAGTAGTTACATATTTTCCTTCCTTTAAGGGTTTAAAAAAGGAAAGACAGCAGTGATTGTAGCTGATAGTCAATCATTACCTCTGAGTTTGTCATATTTCATTCAAGGATTTTACAGTAAAAATTTTAGGGAGGTCATTTGCCTCYATATATAAAAACCCTAATAGGAATGGAAGTTCATAAGGAACTTAATATTGTAAAGCCARTGAATCGTTTTACCCAGAAGCAGAAAACAAATAATATTAGTTATAAAATTCCAGATTTGCAAGCTCAGACTTCATATTAAATTTTTTAAAGCAGGCTCCACTTTAAAACAATAATCCTTGAAGATTGTTGCCATAAATAAGTACTACAATACCTAACCTTCTACAAAAATTAAAAAAAAAACTTAAGTTCAAAATGTTCTTTTGCTCCAATGACCATAATAGCAAAAATACACGTTCCCAGAAGGTTTTTAGAATCTGCTGCTTTTCTCAAACCACATACTGCATTTGAGCAACAAAYTACTGCACTCTTAAAAGCTAACAGTGATAGGACACTGAAGAAAAGCCACTACTTGTTTTAACACAACTGGAACTCATTTGTCCATTGCATGCCACTTACATTACTGCTAATTTTTTGATGCATAAAGATATCAAGATCGTTAAGTGTCAGCTATTGAAACAAATCACTGAACAGTATTTTTCARTTTAGGACTGTGTTTAATTTCAAATAGAAAACATGCTTCTTTTAAAATAAATTATTCACTAATAAGAACCCAGTATCATGAAATCAAAGCAATAATCAAATATTGTACATTTTTAATACTGTACATATATTATATATAGTTTTCTCATATTTTAGGTATTTTTTTCTAGATTGAAAATCATTAGATTGATTCCTTGATAAATTGAAACCTTAAAAGCCAATATACCTGTGAAAACAATTTGCATTACTTTAATTAAAAAGATACAAGTGAATACAACATATGTACAGAACTGTGGAAATCAATCTATAAACTACATACATTAAGCCAAACTGTCCCTGCATATTTAAGTACAGATCTATTTTGGCAATGGAGGTATATCTTTTATCCTGTTGCAAGTCCTAACATGTAAGTAGGAAGCTTCAAATATTTGCATTCTTAATGARAGTAGCAAATGTTAACTGAAGAGCAACTGGATTTAAAAAAAAAAATAAATTGCATTACAACAAACAAGTAGTACAGTAAAGTTAGTAAGTATTTTTAATAGCATTCACATTTTTTAAAAAAGTCTCTGAAATGGACCTGTACATCACTTTTATTGACAGAACATAAATATAAGAAAAAGATCCCTAAAAAGACCAGAATTTTTTTCCCAAACATAAAGTGCCAAGATGTGTATGGTAGTAAGAAATTTCTTTTTTTCTTTTTAGTTTTCTTTTTTTTTCCTTGATTGAGCAAAGACAGGTTAACACAAAGGTTAACCACAATTTCAAYTGAAATCTTTTAAAAACGCCACGTGTGTTCTTGAGCTTCAGCATTCAGATCTTTTAGAAGATTCAGGCTGCTCTTCTAAATTCACTTGCAGTTCATTTTGACATTCTGGTGTCTCACCTTTGACAGCTAAATGGATAACTTTCAGCCACTTCTGTTTCAGTTCCTCATTGTCTGCAGCAAAGCTGTGCACAGACTTGGAYTGGGTCAGTTTGAAGCTGTGGGGGAGGTCAGCACTTTTTGGAGTGTCATCCACTGTATAGCCCAGAAGAGGAATTGTAGCCAGAGCTTTCACATCCTGAGAAGAAGAAGTTCTTTATTAAGAACAGGCAACTAACCTGCCCATTACCTCTCATTTGCTGTACAGGTTAGATCTTGCCTCCATTCCCAAGATATTTGACTTCTCTTTTGCAAACAGCAGTGACAATAACTGGTAAAATCTTTCCCATTTTCCCTGTACATACCTGTGGAGCACCGTACATGTAGAGCACGAGGGCCTCCTGTTTGGGTATAACACACCAGGCTTTCTGCCAGGGCTTGGACTTCTCCATGTACTGAAGAAAGCTGCATATGACACTGTTTCCAGAGACTTCYGCAGATTCAATCTAGGAGACAGTAGAAAGAATAAAAAGGAAAATGAACTTTCCTTCAGTAAAGACTAGAAACAGGACAGAAAAGCAGCAAATTTATCATCACTCGTATCAAATCTTGGAGAGTATCTGCAAAAGAGCTTCAGCTCCGGAAAAATCAAGAAGGATTGGATTTATGGAAAGAATATATATATATGTTAAACACATACAATCACAACATGTATTCCCTTAGCATGTGCAATCTGTTCCTTTTTTCCATCAGTAATTTTGGGTTATAGACTTCCACATCACTCCAATTTTCATTTTCCTACCACAGCTAGCCTTTCTCTGTATCTGAGCATCTACAGTAATGTCTGRTTCCCAAAATAGCATCATGTTAGGCACTGAAGTGCCACTAACCTCCAACATGACAACTTGTCTATTTGGGCAGTCAAAATATTACGACAGAATCAAATTCAAACACATTTCTAAGAGTAACAAAAGCACGCAAGCGCTAATCCTAGAGAAAAAATTAGATTAATTGCTTAAAATCTGTAGACAAAGTAACATGCTACTCAAGTTAAATAGTGAACCTGAGATGATAAGAAAGAACACAAAATTATGCGTTAAAATTTCCATTGACCTTGACTTTTCTGATGCCAAAAGCTGAGAGCAACTCGATAATTTAAAGGTGCATTGTACACATTGATCAAAATAGTATTTTACTATTGAGGCTCTGAAGAGCAAAATTCTCCCCCATTCTCCTCTTTTCTATCTCCAGTTCTTTAAATGAGTATATATTTTCCAGAATCACTGGGCTAGCAGTGGGGTTTGTTGCTATAAAAACTTAAGTGCAGAAGAAGAAAACTGAAAATTTCTAAGGAAAGGTAATATTTTGTCACAGGAGCTGATGTAACTGAAAGAAGCAAACAAGCTCTAAGGTTATTCTCTTAAACAAAAAAACCCCACAAAATTATAAAAAAAGCTGGAAGAAACGAAGCAGTTTTCCATCAGAGAGTGCTAGAAACCAAAATCTATGGAATGGGATGAAACTGCTGCACATACTTTTTATTTCTCAAAGAGGAAATAAACCCTGCAAGAATGGTAAAATTTTTCACCTACTGATGAACCAAAAAGATTGCAGCTATACAAATAGAGCATTCTTGAATGACATACCTCCAGGATGCCTTTCCTCTTCTTTTCTTCACTGTCTGTACAGCCAATTATAACATGATAGCAGTCCTTACAGACTTTGTTCAATTTATTGCCGTCGTATTCGAGATGTGCTTTGTAATCAGAACATTTCCAGCAAACCACCTTAGAAACATAAAAAAAAAGATAAAAAACATGTAAAATTTAAATATTTATAAAGGTTTATGAAAATTAATTAAAAATTAGTATCATTCTATTTTGTGGTATATTTTCTAATTCTGCAGAAAAGAAAGATAATGCCTTTATAACATGTCAACTATACTTTAATTAAAAATAATGGTTTCCAAATTTGTGCCAATATTTCTTAACCAGAAATGCTTTTTACTATCCACCTGCTGGAATTTTTGCATTTAGCATAACATCACATTAGGCTTTTAATTTTATCTGTAGGTTAGAGTTAGGTATGGAATCAGAATACAGCACAAGTCATGCTGCAGGAAGAAAATCATCCTGTTTCTGTACAAGCCAACCTTGTATTTACTGACTGCTTTTCTGTGTAACCAGAATGAGTTTATGAGAATAAATGAACTGAGATTACCTCTTAATGACAAAAGTCTGATAAAATCAGAAATGGCTACTTTTTAAACCTGCTAATAAATATTAGCATGTTTAAATGTATATATTCACCTATATTTATAAAAATTGCAGTTTTAAAAGCCAACCATAAATAAGCCAATGTCACACTGAATTTTACTAATTTTTCTTTTCACTGTCTATGTAACTGAAATGCAAAAGAGATCTCAGTGTTCTTTCATTAGAAGTGTTTTTCCACTGAATTCTTCTTTCAGGTAAATAAATAACCTGAATAAAAAAAATGAATAAACCCTGAATAAAAAATATAAATGTAGTCATTTCAAGAAAGAGAGGTAAATAAATGGACTTAAATCACCAAAACATCTGAACAAGATTGTAAACCAAGGCTTTGCAGTGCTAACCTAGATCACCACCTTCATCTCGTAGCTCTAGACAATACTAGTTAAATATTCCCAATTAGTCACTGCTGGAAAGCCACCACTGCCAGCCCAAATTAGTAACTTTTAAATTTTTAATTGAAAGAATGTTTTAAAGTGCAAGGAGAAGGTGTGGTTTTAACATTAACAGAATTTTAAGACACAAAGATCTTGGGGGAAAAGCCTCACATCACAACTGTAAAATCAGTAATTCACAGGTTCTGAAAAAGTCTCCTGCAAAAGTGTCCTGCAAAACACCAGAGCAGCGTTATGAAAGCAGCAAGCCTTCACACTGCATAAAAACAGAGATAAATCACACACACCTTGTACCACAAATATTAAACCTAAGCTTGTACCACCATCTGGTGGAGAAAGGCAGAGCTGCTGGGTGGAATGAGAAGAAAGCACAGTCTGTTTGCTCTTCTCCTGTTGACTTCTGAAAATTCTCAAGTCATTTTGCTTTTGTTGATTGCTTTCAAGCTGGATGTGTCACTGGAGCATCCCACATGGAAAGACTGTCTCCCCACCCTCACATTCCTTCATTCCCTGATGCTTTACCCAAGTTCACACAGTTACACCCTGAACCCAGCTGGGTGCAGCTCCAAGTTAATCCAGTGAAAAACTGCACAGCTTYGTGGTCTTCTGGTGAAGGGGAGTCAGCCAGTGCTGCCTGAAATAATGCTCAATTATGGCAGCTTAACATGGTCTTGAAACTCTTCATATCAGTGGAGGGCACTCAAAACTACCAATGTACTCAGTCCAGGGCCTTAAGACATTTTACACAATTCCAGATTTACCACACCAACTAAAGCAGGCAGAGGGTCCTTGGTGGTGTTGAGAGYTGCTTCCTTCACCTAAAAGCACAGCAACAAACTGCACAGACTGGCACAAGCTGCCCAGAGAAACTGTGGCTGCCCCATCCCAGGAAGTGCTCAAGGCCAGCCTGGTCTGGGGGAAGGTGTCCCCACTCATGGCCTGGGGTTTGGCACCAGATGACCTTTAAGATCCCTTCCAAGCCAAGCTTTTCTGTGATTCTGTGGTAACAAGGAGCCACAGGAAGTCCAGCAGTGCTGAGCAGCTGCAGGCATTGGGGCTGTGCACTCACATGTCCACATGCTCTGCAGTGGTGCCTCCTCCGTGTCAGGGCGTTGAAGGGCTCCTTGCATTTCATGCACATGGTCACTTCATTGTCCCGGATCCACCTCGGTGCTCTCTTCCCAAGCTCAGCATTCTAAACGTGGAGGGAGGACACAAGAATTAAAAAAACCCTAGTAAGAAGCTGTACAGTACTTGAAATAGGGAAAGTAATTATTCTCTTCCTCTGGAAAGGAAATTRCAAAACATAGCTGAAGATGCACTTTGAAATCTATAAAAGAAGYAACAAAGAACCCAGTCAAAAATCAAGATGCATCACTGAAAGGGTGCTCTGTTATGTGTTTGGAGAAAGAAAGAGGCTTGTCTACAAGATTTGGCATTATGAACAAAAACAATTACCAGCAAGATGACTACTTTGTAATGACTCTGCTATAAAAACCACGAGCTCAAAAATGAAGTTTCTGCCAAACCTCTTCCACTTACTGAAGAACACAATGGGTACTAAGAAGGTTAAAAAGGAGTAACAGCAACTTACAGAGACTTCRACAGGCATGTCTTCATATTCTTTAGCAATAGCATTTCTGAAAGTTTCATTCCTCTGCTGAAAAGCTTCAATAGTRCTCTGAAGTGCCTAAGGAAACAGTGGAGAAACTCCTCAGACATGTTAAATTTAAACCAGACTCTGCATTCTGACCAGTTACTGATCAGCAGAAAGAAGGTGCAGACAGCAAGCAAGAATATTAATTTTCTGATTGCTTCAGTGAAAAAGTGTTTAGGAAATAAAGAATGYAGATAAATTTACCTTTATCCATTCTTCTTTATCCTGTTCAGAACTAAAAGAAATATTTGACATATTAGTTTGAAACTATTTCAGGAAACATTATCTCACTTTCAACAACTTCTTGCAAAAGCCAAATAATTCTCCAGTAATTCTCAAGAATTTAAACAATACTAATTGTTACTAATTGTCCAACTTAGAAAAAAACAAACCAAACCAGAAGATAAAACCATGACCTTAGGCTGCACAAAATTGCAACCAGTAAGTAGTGAATTCAAGAAGAAAGTTAAATGTGAATGCATTTAAAGGTAGCAATAGTATTTTCATTGTTGTACCATTGGGTTTGGAGGTGTCTGTTTTTTGGGGTTTTTTTTTTGTTTTTTGTTTTGTTTTGTGGTGGGATTTTTTTTTAATTTTTGGGATTTTTTGAAAACAGGAAAAGAGGACAATGCAAAGTTGAGGTATACTTTTCTCCTTTCATTTCATGAGTTACAAGTTCACATACTAACACACTTTTCTCGTGTGTACCTTTTAAATCTTGCTCCCTCCCAAAGTAATTTTCTTAACTTTTTGTTATTGTTCAACAGTGACAGGAAGAACATCCAATTAAACTAAAGGAAAAATATGCTTTAGTATTGTAAACCARTTAGCAGAAATGTCCCTTTTATGCATCAGAACAGATACAGATAGCAGTAAGGACTCAAGGATTCAATTTAAAGTTGAATGAAAGTGTAGGCAAATAGCTGTTATCTTTGCATATTTACTCCTGCAACTCTCATTAAATATTATTCTCATGAAATATTATTCATTAAGTATTTACCTCATTAAATATTTCCTTTCTCTGTAAAGGGAAGTAGCTTGCCATCTCATTTGGCCAGCAAGCTCTCCTTTGTCCCCCAACACAGAACTCCAGAATCCCAACACAGAATCCACCATGGACATTTTCCTGCTTATTCAATCCTCACCTCTCTGCAATGAAATCCTGACTGCTAAGAACAGGATTTYTAAGCAGGTCCAAAAGGAGAGGAGSATAATTTTGCCTTATTTGAAGTGGGACAGTCTAAACACAGATTTGGTCTGGGCAGTGCAAAAAGGGGAAGGTAACTCAGCAAAAGGATGATGCAAGGACAAATAAGAAAAGCAGGAAAAGTGCCAGTCAGAAGAGTGCAGGTGGAGGAAAAGGACACAAGAACTAAAAACACAACTTGCTATCCAGGAGGAGGTTGATACTTGGGACTCAGAGAGATTTTTGGACTGTCAATTTATGGGTTTTTGGTAGCCTAGGCTATTTTGAAAACACCAATATTATGGTGAAATACATGCATCTTTCTTCAAATCTATTAATCCACTCTTGTGTGCACATACTGAACTTCAAGAAAGCCACTGAAAAGGCTGAAAAGGCTGAAAAAGCTGCTTACCTGGCCTGCAACTCCAGCGTCCGCTCTTTTCCAGACACTTGGAAGGTGTGAGGATATTCTTCATTATGGGTTTCAATAATCTTCATGCCATCTATGCCAACCCTGGTTCGAACWGAGAACTTGGATCCTACCAGGCTGAATTTGGGGACGCAGTAGAGCAGCATATTGTTAAACTGGGGGGGAAATGAATACRTGGTTTGGCACAAAGGAAAACATGGATAAAGCCACAGTTTGTGCCCTAAGAGCTGGGCCATATCACAAAGCTAGGCTTGATGGGTGAGAAAGCAAGATCTTTCTGATCAGCTGACACATGAGAAGCTCTAATGCAAGACAGTTTCTCTTATTTCTCCAGAAATAGGATTAAAGGACAGCTTCAGTGAATAGAAGGATAATTGTTCTGTACAGACAGCTGTATTTGTAGCATTTATTACCAAACTACACTCAGACCAAATGTTCTGTACCAATACAAAGCTCTTCTAACAAAACCCCCATTCTTAGGCCTCAATTCTGCAAAACCTACTGTAAACTGCAGAATACGGAATATTTCCTTCAGTGTATGTATTTATATCCTGTACAAAAATAGTTTGGCTTTGTATAAGTAGCTAATAGTATTTGAAGACATTATGTTTATTTTCTCTAAGATAGAAGAACATTTCTTAAAGTTTTTATTCCCTGAAACCCTCCATATCACAGGGAAAAAATACTACATGAGAAGGAAAAAAATATATTCCTTTATTAAAGATTAGAACTTTAATAATGTTTGAATGTCTAAAGGCCCAGCCTAGAAGCACAGTTATTAAACCAGATATAAAGTGTTTAATTTTCTCACATTTTTTCCCTTTTCATTTTTCTCAGAATTAATTATTAAAAAGAAAAACTCACTTCAGTTAAATCCTATTTCATAGAAATGCTGGCTAGGCTATTGCCTAGTCTGTGTCACAGGCACAGCACATTTGAGCTTGTCACCTCTCTAATATGAAGGGGACATTATTTAATTCTGTCTAGCACCAGCTGAGGTCTTACCACTTGAAGATTTCTCCTTTTGTTTGAAGCAGGAGCTGTGCCTCAACACAAAATGCATCAGGACTAAAATCCCAAGCTTTTACACTTCAGTTTAATGAGAATTTCCTCACGCTCTGGGGCTGCACCTGTAACCAGCACTCACCAGGAAAAGATAGCGCTCCTGAGCAGAGGTGTTGCGAGCAGCCAGTTTAAGGATCTGCCCTTCTTTTATCAGCTCATTTGAGGGATTCACGATGTCTTCCTCTTCCCCCAGCATCTCATATATCTCTAACAACTTCTTTAGGTTCTCCTTTACAGTGAAAATATAAGAATTATTAATTAAGTTTAAATAAATTATGGGAACTTGTATAAATCTGAGCACTCTTAGCTTTGAAAAACATACTTATAGCCAGTATGTGTGGCCTGGCTGATTAACTTAYTTGGTAAAGAAAGAAGTACTTTTTGAAATGTTCTATCCTTGGTAATTTTTACAATGCAGTTATACATACATACTGCATTATTTCTTGCCCTAAACACCTCAATTTTGATTACATTCCTGCCATCCCAGCCCAATCTGGCAGAGGAGCAGTAACTGCTCTTTACAAACATTATCCTGCCCTGACAGAAACACATGAAACAAGGTTGAGAGTTCAGTGCTCTATCAGTGATTTGAGCCAGGAGAGGAACTAAGTCTGTCCTAATTTCCACTTGAGACAATTTAGGTGCAATGGCAGATTTTGTCTCTCATTTCCAGAAGCTGTATAAACACATTWAGTAGAAATATTATCTTTTACCCAACGAATCAATTCTTGCCATTTTAGGGAAGATATGCAATTCACTCTCCTAGCTTCACCAAATATTGAAATATAATATATTGAAAAGTGATCAGGAAAACAAGGAACATTTACCATCTTTCTTATTGCACTGTTGGAGTGACTTGCTGCAGTGGATATAATTTCCAGGGATTCTAGACAGAAGAAAAAGAAAAGAAGTAAAGTCAAAAAGCTGCTTCTTTTCATGAAATTTTTACATGTTTATATATATACAATGGGGGAAAAATGGGGGCGGGAGGGGGTGTCATTCTACAAAAAAAGGCATTTTTATGTAAATTACATAGTACAATAAATTTCTTCAGTTAACAATAAAAAGAAAACAAGGTAAAGTGGAAAGCATAAAAAAGTCAGCTACCAAATRGAAATTATAATCTGGAAAGATCAGAAGAGAATTATTGCAGATTATTGTAGCACTTCAGCACTCAGAATCACATTTTTCTGTGACAAGAACAGTCAGTTCTCTCCATTCTTTTCTCAAAGTAGTTCAGAAAGTCAAACTATATTTTTCAGTTGAAGCAGCTCATCTKACAAGTGTTATTGCAATTGTTCTAAAAATGAAATATTTAAAGGAATCTGGCAACTGATTTGGAACAATCCATGCAAATATCTTGAACTGTTCTTGTGAATACAGTGAGAAAGAAATTTAAAAGTGGACTGTGCTCTTTTTCCTGCAGAAGCTTAAAAATACGAGTCTATCACTTTTTTA